CCCCCCCCCCCCCCCGCTCCCTCCCCCCGCCCCGCGCTCTTGTCCTGTGCACCGTGTACCGTGGCCGTAGTTTTTGATTGGTCCGTGGACCGTGAGTTGCGACTGCTGCCTACCTACCTTGGCCTGTTCTTTTCCCTCCCCCCGTGTCGTTTCGGTTTTTGAATCTGTTTCAAAGCCCCGACTCTCCACACACACACGCGCGCGCCATTTTTTGGTGTGAATTTCAATGCGGTTTTATTGTGGAAGCTCTCACTCTCCACGTTCCCACTTCCGCGTCTCGTTGGACCCCCTACTTTAGACCCCTATGCGACCCCCTCACCCGGTCTACACGCCCACTCACCCCGCCGCCGCCGACTGTGATACATGCGTAAAACCAGGGCGGTGGCGAATGGTGGACCCGGCTCTGATGGAGCGAACCGCGGACGCGCTTCTGGCGGCGGTGGTGGAGGAAGACATGCCGCTCGATAAGGTCCGAGGAGTCGAGACAGAGACCGACAGAGGGAGAAGGTGGCGGAGGGGCGCGGGGGGGGGGGTAGACGGGGTCAATAATTTTGTGTTATTGAAGGTCTTGCGCTTTCTCCCTGGCTCTTGTTCTGTTGTTTGTTCGAGGAAGGCGTTCCGCTCGCCAATGCCACAAGTTGACCTTGTTGTTCCCTCAAGGGAGGAACCCGAGGGAGGTTGTGGCCTGGCCACTCTCGGTGTAATCTTTCAGTCTTGTCTGTTGAAAGTCGATTATTTTTCTTCCTATCTCAGGTCGACAGCAAGGCTTGCATAGCCGCCCTGCCGGACTGCGAGGCCCTGGTGCTGGAGCACTGCCTACGTACGTATTCCCTGCCATCCGACAACGTTGAAGAGCAAAATGAAGCTCCCAGCGAGGTACGGAGAGGGGGTGCTGGTGACGCATCTCTTGAAGTTCTTTCCTGTTTTGCCTGTTCATAGAAAGTTAAGGTCTGCCTTTGCAGTGTACGTGCATACCGGACTCGGGGCGGCTTTCCCGTCTAGGTGGGCCACGGCTCAGGTTACCGACTGTCGGCAGATGAGTAAGCCGGGTTAATGCGCCCGCGCGGCTGCCGCCTTGCGGCCATGTTGACAAGCGCTCCGCGTTCATTGTACCACGCCTGTTCTGTTTTGCCGTCGCCCTTAATGCGAATCGCTCCATCGGTTCCCTCCGCCCCCCCACCATCACCGCGCCCCTCACAATTGTTTTACTCCGTTTTTTTCCCTGTCTGTTGTCCTTTGGCGTAGAACGCTCCTGCTGCTGCCGATAGTGTTGCCGACCAGACAGTTGCTCCTGCGTACCTCCGGCTGGATCTAGCCAAGGTGGCACGCCTTCGAGCTCACCAGATCCTGCGCGCGCACGAGGCGGAGATGAACGGCGGCGGCGGCGGCGGCGGCGGCGGCAGCGGCAGCCTTCACGGCAGCGGCGGGCCGATTTCACTGGGGGAGTTCATGGACCAGTGGGCGGCTAGCATGCCCGGGGTAGACACGCCTTCCCAAGATTTGCTCAAGGTGCTGCCTCCGATTGGGTCCGCACTTTCAACCCAAACGAAAGCACCCGTTTCTTTTTTGGCCGCAAGAAAGGAGACAGTCAGGCCTGCAAAATTATATGGGAACACCGAATCCTTAACTCCTCGTGCCTGAAAGACCGCTCACCATGCGGCGTTTCGGGAGACTCTGAGTTTGCACTCCCCCGTAACACCGACCCCCTCCTCCCCCGCGTGAGGTCAATGGTCTAACGACTTCGGCATGCACGACTACGAGTACCCCCTCCCTCCCTCCCCCCCCGCATTGCTCTCTCGTGCACGCGGAATACCATTTTCTTGCGGTGATTTCGACGGGGGCAGGGCATCGCTCTTGTGGAGACGAGAGACTCCAAGGGCAAGGACAAGAACGCCTCGCTGGTGTCGTACGTCCCGGCGTCCGGCTTGCCCTTCTCCCCGGCCGAACGGCTGGCCGCGCTGTTCCGGATCAAGCCCAAGTGGCCCATGGCAGAGCTCGAGCCCTACATATCGTGAGACAAGTAGCATTATAGATGCACATCAGACAACATGATTTTGCTCGCACGTTATGTTAACCTTGCCAACGACGGGACGAATACGGGACAGCTCGATCCCCTAGATGCTTGAGACAACCGACGACCTGTTTGACGCGTGTGCGGTGTTTGGCATTACAACAACGGTATGTGGTGTGCAGGTCTTTGGCTCGCTCCACACGCCCCCCCCCCCCCCCCCCCCCCCCCCCCCCCCCCCCCCCCCCCCCCCCCCCCNCCTCCCTTTTTTTTCTGGTCGTCTGACACCCGATCTGTTCCTTCGTTACTTGTTTCGCCACGATGGCCATGTGTGCCACTGAGTTTGCTTTATCACCTCTCTCTGCTCCCCAATCTCGTGTCCGCTGTGGAAAACACGCAGGGAGGCTGACAGGAAAGCCGGGTTCCTCCTCAAGAATACGCGTGCTAGCACAGATCCGGGTACCGGCCAGAAGCTGTTTAGCACAAGATAGGTAGAACGGTAAACCTGCGTAGAAAAGAAGTCGGTGCTCCTGAGGTGAATCGGGAGGCGACAGGTGTTTTGTTCTCGGTGCTAGAGGAGCTTCAGCTATTGTTGTAGTAGCAGTCCCTTCACGATACCAGCAGGTAGCACACATTCCCGCCGGCGCTTTGTCTTTGTGAAGTTAGTCGCCCCTTATTGGGGTTTGCTTTCGTTCCGTTTGCGTGGACTGCCGTGGGGGTCGGTGTACAGTCGACCCCGCTTTAAAGAACACCACGTTTCCCCCCCAAAAAAGTGTCTTTAACGCCGGGAGGTGTCTTTAAAATTCCGGGGCCACCAACGCACCATCCCCGGGGCACAAGAGGTGTTGTTTGAAACCTACGACACAAGGTGATTTGAAGGTCGCAACCACTGCTGCAATTGTGCTGCAATTGTGCTGCAATACATACTTGCATACCATCGTTTGAATTTCCCCGTACTGCACCACCAAAACGCTGAAAGCGATGGTGTTCTACGACCTACGCATCGTACATGTACACGACGGTAGTGCGCTAGTGTTGATATGAGCTTATTTTTTGCTTTATTTTATTTTTTTGGCGTTGTCCTCCCCGTGACTCGCTACCGCACCTGAGAAATATCCAAGGTTGTAAAACGACACTACTAGGAAAATGTAGGCTACGCAGAAACACAGAGACCAAAAATGTCGGGAAAGCACAGCGACCAAGAGGGCACCGCGCCTCCGAAAGGTCAAAACGAGCACTCTCTCTGCTGTCCGTGGCCTTCCTCTCCGATGCCCCGACCACAAAACGCGTGCATGGGTCGCCCGCACGGACACTCATGAACCAGTGACACCAGTGCAGATTTGAACTGGCACGTCGGTTCGCCGCATGGCTTCAAGCCGGCAGCAGACGAACCGCTAGCAGATGGAATGAATCTTACCATACATCCACACGCAGTGTGCGGCTGCAGCAGACCGCTGTTGATGATCCAGGATCCACAGGTGCTGGCTCAGCGACCATGGGTAGGGCAACCCGGGAACGAGTTATATTTATTTCGCGCGAAGCGCGAAAAAAATACGAAGAGGCGTATTTGAATGACGCGTCCTTTCATTGTCTTCAAGTTTGACAGAAGGAATCCATGTGTGGTTATTCAGTGCCCGAGGTTGCGGGTTCAATCCCCATCAGCGCCAAACTTTGTTTGCACCTTCCTTTTTTTCCCGATTTTTCTTCACGATGGGAGGGCCATCACCACCTATTGGCGGTAAATTAGCGGGTAAACCACCGTTTACGCGAAGGAAACTGTAGTTTGTTGCTTTACACGCCTGCAGAATTGCAGTCTGCGCGAAACATGGCAGCTTTTCCCTGTCTCGCGGGTGCAGCTTCAGAACAACAACATGTGTTATTTTCTACAGGAGAAGAGTATTCTTCGTGCTCGCCATCAGAACGTGACGTCTTCTTGAAACTATTAGTAATTAACTCTCGCCCACTTGTCTTGTCGTGCTTCGAACCAAAGATACAGAGAAAAAAAAACGGTATCAACATCATAATACATATGACTCGCCGAAACCATGACGCGTAACTGCTACTGCTGTGTCGCACGCTTCAGGTGCAAGCTACTACCACAGAATAACCGGTTCCTCCCTGCATCATATTGCTGGGCGGTTTTATACAACAAGAACACCAGGAACCCCATGCCCGTTTTACGTACATACAAGTAAATTCAGCTTTCAGTGTATGAGCCACGGCAGACATTGCAAAGGCAGGGCGGGAACACCCTTTTCTTGCGTGCTGAAATGTATTTCAGTTCGCTCTGTGCGCGCCGAAACCTGGCAAGAGGCATGCAAGAAGGAAACACAGCGAGTGGAAAATCGGACCACGGCTCAAGCTCCATGAGAGAACCCAGGTGGAACCAATTTCGCACACACCACACGGCAACACGGCACAAGGCCTAAGGACTAACACGCAAACACCCCTACGACGAAACACCACAGGGGAAACAAGCTCAAAGTACGAACGAAACATATCTACGGACGGCGAGAGGCGCATGCTACTGGACCTGCTCGTANAATGAGCTGGAGTACATTTTCTGGGGGGGTCGAATGGTGGAAAACCGTACCCCTGCCTACTTTTTCACTTCTGCGGGGCACCATGTTTCTGAGATTTTTGGTGTCCGGGGCATTAAATATGGTGTCAAAGCTGGGACAACTGTAGATCATGACGATGACTCTCGTACGCCCTAGCTGATGGTGGTTGAGCGTAGTGGACGTGTCGACGAGAACCGAGGACGAAGCATATGTTGCAAAGTAGCCCCCGGCCGTGCACGTTAAGATACATCGATTGTGCGTTTCAGTTCCCTTTGGAGTTGTAGTCTATGCATCGACCGGCAAGAATACTGAAGCGTTGTGGTGTCGTCTTTGGGCAGCGTGTTTTTCGACTTTTCTCCACCAACATCCAATCGGCGACACGGAGCAATTCTTGACGTTTATTGTCCCAATATAAGACACGTTACTGCTTCCCTGACGAGGGGTGGAGGAGGGGGTTTCTGCCACCTGAGCCAATGTACTTCTTTCTATCGACCACGATTTTTGAGAGGATGAAGAAAAAAAGGAAAGGGTAACGAGCAAGGCACGAAATTGAAAGGCGAGACCATCGTTCGGGAAGGAGGTCCGGGACCGGCAAAGGGTGGATAGTGGGCGTAGGGTTGGGTGCGCTCACGGCTACCGCCCCCCCGTAGGCGGATCGGTTGAAGCAAGATGCACGGGGATGCATTCTTTGAAGCCCTTCGAATCTTTATCTTTTTGCCCCTGGGGATGGTTTGCTTGGAAAGGGCCAATAATGCTGCACAAGTTGGCACAAATGTTCGGCTTGCCTCTCTCCGCTTCTTGTTCCAGCGTCGGTCTACTACGTAGTATAGAGACTTCCACAATGTGTAGACCATCCTAAGGTGACGGCCACGCTCCTACTCTCAGGTCCCAGGGAGCCCTGTGCGGAGCTCGGCATCTACCTTTGGGGCCCAAAGCTCACCCCGGATGCATCATCGGTACCAATCTTATTCAGGGAAGCATCAAGTAGATACAGCAGTGTTTTAGATTATTGTACGCATAAAAATGTTCTTCTTGTACACGTATTGTTTGGCCTGTTGCCCCTTGTTTTCGGCTGTACGTACCCTTGTCAGTAGAAGGTACAAATGATCAATGAATGGTGAGCTGGCCGTCGTCCGGGTGCACAATAATTTTTCACCGCCGCGCTACAACAGCAGTATGTAGCAGTCTAATTGCGATTTCAATAGGCGTTGCGCTATTATTGCGGCCCCGAAAATTTTTTAAAGGTCCCGTCAAACCCCGCAACGCTCTCGCGGTCGCGTCTTGCGTCTTGCCGCAACAGGAAAATGGAGGTTGCGTCTTGCCCCAAGAGGAAAATTTAGGCCGCAACACCCTTCGCCGCAAGCAAGGCGATAATTTTTTTTGGGGCCCTTTTATTTCTATTTGCGCAGCGATATCTGCTTTCCGTACGAAAATCGCATGTATGTATAGACTAATTAATAATGCTGGAAAATCGAAAAACACCTGCGTTTTCAGTGTTTCTATCCCTTAAAATCGCGAACAACCCTGAATCAGACCTATTTTCAAGTAAATCGCTACATGGGTACACGATTGTGTCCGTGTACCCATCATCCGTTGCTTATTGCGCACATTCATCGCGTTTTTCCGTGGTTGATGCGGGGAGCTAATAAGAGGTAAAGCACACGTTTGTGCAGAAGAAGTAGGAAACAACAGCGAGAGCTTGAGATTTGAGGACCGGGGAAAATTTCGGACCATCCCCGAGTGGAGGCGTGTTTTTTCGTGACCATGGTCCACGTCCATATCTCGTGCGTCCCCACCTGCTGTGCCTCCCTCTCTCGCTTCGAAACACACCGGGCACACGACTCTCTCTCGATATCTGCCCCAAGTCTCTTCGAAGTAGCCGAAATTTTAGCATGAAGGTCGCTTACGCTCTCGCCTCTGGGGCGGCATTGGTAGGGACTAGGTGAGTGCCCAAGTCGGGATCGCGAGAGCGCCGGCTGATACGTAGTAGCAGCCGATACGTCAAGTACGTGTGCGATCATGCTGTCGTCTCCTTCTGTACTTTTGGCTGAAAGGAAGAAGCAACCAAGCTAGTGACGTGCTTCGCGCGTAGCTGCGCTGCTGGTTCATTGAAAGGAAGCGGGGTGAGGCCGAAGCTCATGGGGTGGACTTGGGTGCTCGGTGCCCTCGTTCGGACGGAGAAGCCTGGGGATGGGTTTTACGCTGGAAAGCACATAAACAGCTGGCCAGTCCGCTTTTGACATGCGGGGTGGGCCAGCATGTGTTGTATGTGTAGCCCGCACCCCGTGCGTGTACAAACATCGACACTCTCACAGGATCATTTTGACGCGAGAGAGATGACAACACCAAACCTCGAAACAACCCTCTTTTGTCTCCTCCTTGCACGCCCTACAGCGATGCGTTCGTTGCTCCGGCAGCCGTGAGGTCGCCGCTGCAGCAGCAGCGAACGTCTTCGCGACCTAACGTGGTCATGGCGGCCACGGCGGAAAAGCCCGCCACCTCGAAGGAGGCCCAGGCGGTGCCCGGTGGCGTGATGACGCTGTCCAGGTACATGCTCGACCAGGCCAGGATAAACACGGACTACCAGGTGTGTTGCTGGGCGGTGCCGGTGGTGGTGGTGAACTCGTTGGTGTTCTCGGGGTGCATGTGGGTGGAGTGCGATTACGGAGCGTGTGTGTGTCTGCTGTCGCATCCAGAGCTAAGTCGTTTTTGCGATAACGGCGGTAACATGTTTCGCAAGGTCTGCTGCAGACAACGATGGCGTACAAAACATGCACACCACCGCCATGGCTGGCGACAGCAGTTCTTTCTCCCTTTCTCAGACCATGCTGTGATGGCCAGAGAAACACGCAACGCTGTTGTTATGCAGGGGTGCACAGAGCACGTGCTGCTGGGACTCTCGCAGCGCCGCTACTGCTGCAGATAGACTTGCCCGTTGTTGGCACGAGGAATGATGTGTTCAGCAGCTGGTGGGAATGTGCCTCTGTAGAATCTTCTATTTTTTAGAAGTAAGCATAACCTCACAGGAAAGACTACCTACCCGTCTATTTTTGTGTTTGAAGGGAACGTGCTCCCCCCTCCGACGTTGGGCACCGTCCGTTTCGACCTATGATGTCGACTTGCGGCTGCTGTGCTGTTCCTACAGCTAAAGCGCTGTTTGGCGCAATGTCCAAATTGCAGCCACTTCCAAATGGTGCAACCCTACACTCCTCTTGGCGTCCGGGGTACACTTGTTGGTACAGCAGGCGTTACTCCTATTAAAGGCATGTGCTTTCGTACAACCATGTACACGAGAGATAGGTAGCGTGGACTTGATTTGCCTCCTGCACGCGACCGCTGTGGTAGAGCAGGCCGTTTTGCCTACGATTTCCTTGAGTATATGCAAGCAATCGCCCATCGAGAGCATACAAGGCAAAGACTCCCCGCTTCAACGGTAGCGAGCCCGAGGGCTTGTAGCGACAGGGACAATTTTACTACCGAGGTTTCGGCGGTTGTTGGGTGGTGGTGCGCGGGTGTGTTTCAGAACTTTGCACTAGACCGCTTGCTGCAATTAATGGAAACACGCATGTAGGGATCGACGCCTTGTTCTTTCTTTCGAGCACGGCAAACCTGTAGTTGTCGCCGTCCTCTTCTTCTCCCCCTGGTGCTTCCGCTTTAGTGTACCTTGCACGCCAACGCTGGGTACAAGAAAGCTTTGACCGTTGCCTGTTCCACAACACGCGGCTTGACAGCTGCTGTTGACGGGCAGAAGCAGTGGTCCGTGGCCTTTCTTGTCAGCTCTTTGCCCAAGCCAGCAGATACTGCTGTTGCTTATGTTCAGGCATTGGGTCAACAGGACAGGCACGATTTTCCCACGGGTAAAGAGGGCAACAAAGATACATTGAATAATAGCACAATGAGGTGGCGGCAAGCATCACCATCGAGCCGTAGGTTTGGTTTAGGCTCCAATCTAGTCTACTGAACATAGCCTCATATTGACATCCCTCCCCCGCCCCCCTCCTTGCTGCTTGTGGTTTCATCTTTGCTGCATCTATCCGCGACGGTTCTCTCCCACCATTCCCCTGATGCACACCAAACCGACCACGCCATGACGACGCGTCGCGGCTCCAGGACCTCGAGCAACTAATGGGGTCCATCCAGTACGCGTGCAAGACCATCGCCAACTTGGTCAGCCGCGCGGGCATCTCGGACCTCACCGGTCTCCAGGT